CCTCCTATGCCAAGTGTCTGTCGGCCCTCCGGGCCTTCACACGCTCCATCAGTGAAAACCAAGGCCTTTGAAGAACCGGGCGAAGCCAGAAGGACGCGCGGCTTCCCCGAGGCAATGCGCGCCCCCAACATGCTGAACACATTCCGATCGAAGTCGTTCAAGTGCACATCGCTCGAAGATCGTTCTATCCAGCGGATGTCTGCAAGAGCTAACCGCCCCGCACGTCCCAGAAGCTGCGACTCTGCAAACTGAAGCCTGCCAAACACAGTCGCTGCGTCCCGTGGCCTGATGACACCGTCCTCCAGCACCTTGCTCAGTGCCCGAGACAACTCATCAACCCTTGCCGGCTTGTTCGAAAGAGTGACAGCCGCCTCAAGCCCAGATGAAATAGCCATCCTGAGCCCAAGAAGGTCAGCTTGGTCAAGAAAAGCCTCGTCCTTGTCTTTTGCCCAGGCGAAACCTAGCATATCCAACACGGCCTTGACAGACTTCTCCACGCTGTTCCGCAGAGCCGTCAACTCAGGCAAGGGGTAGTCATCAAACTAGTTGGCAGCCAGCAACCTCATCTCGTGAAAAATCCTCTGCAAGAGCCTCGAAATCCGATTGAAGTGTCCCACGCTGGCAACACTGCCGAACGGGAGCACTCTGCAAAGGAACCCCTTGGGAACTCCATCATGGGGGTCCCGCAAGGAGATAACACTGAAACGACGATCATCAGGATGTAGCGGTAGCTGTTTGTAAGCAGATTTCAAATCGACCGCCTTCAAAAGAATGCGCGCCTCCTCTGGGCGCTGAAGCCAATAGGGGTGGACACGACCTCGCAGCACACGGCCATCACCAAGCTTCAACGCAAAGGATCCGACCTTCAGGCATTTCAGAATGAGCATCGCAGTGAACACCGTCTCATCAAGAGCTCGAAGGTCGAGTTTGTCAAGCGTGCCACAGGCACCGTTAGTACCGGATTCGGTCAGGTCGTCGATGGGCCGCAGCTTCCCGCGCTGAACTACGGGGAATCTCCGGACCGGTACCCACCCGGTCGGCATCAAAGCGTCGAGCTCATGAATGCCTCGCGGCTTCTCGAGCCACGACTTCTCCTCGAACTCGCCATATGTCACATCCCACAGCTCGCGAGCCAGGTCGTCTAGAGGGC